TTTGAAGTCAGAAATCAACTGCCGGTTTATAGACTTTTTTACCGTATAAGAATACGTTGCCCGGGGTGCACCACATGAAGGTAAGTCTGTCGCACCCCTGTTCCACAATGTACCTGGTAATTAAAGCACTATGGAGTACATAAGCCAGTCGTTCTATTTGGGAGATTTGGGTTAATCATCACAAAACTACTTTTTCAAGTCAGATTTGTCATGCAAGACTCATGTCCACCTGTTTTACTATGGATTCCTGGGCGGTTTATGAAACTACGATCATATACTGTCACAGCTGCATGTCTGTGAGGTCGGGGGTTGTGAATTTGATGTCACCCCTGTGAATGAAATTACCGATCGCATTGACTAAGTTGGTTTTACAAAGTTACTTGAAGAATTCGAGTTTCTTACAAGAGAGATTGCGATCCTATTCGTCTATCTAGGCTGCATTTTTGAGGTTCAAAATCCACATTGGTTGGCTTGCAATCACCTTCAACAGTGGCCTAAAGATTTGCAATAGTTTATGTCGCTGAATTGTTTTTTTGCCAAGTCACTTTGCCTGTTATATCCTACGCTTCATGTGGCTGGTTCTTATCAGTCTCAGTTGCTAGCTTTGTACTCCCTTCTAGGAAACAGTAGACGATCTTGTGACGGAGGAAGTCCATGATGTAGCCTCAGGTGAGGTGAAAAGCGCTCAAGCCAGGCACTCAAACTCCTTGAGGCTGCAGAAACGTTCCTTCACTGCTTGGAGGTCAATTTGTGAGAGGAAGAGCGTGCAGAAACTCAATAGTGAGCGCACTCTTGATCGACTTCTCTCTTTGCCCGGTGCTCCTGCTCCTTGCGCGTGGATGGGTGAAATGAGTCTGCGACGTCCTCTCCACCAGGTCTTTCGAAGGGAAATCGAAGGCTTGGAACCCAAACGACCTCGATTGTCAGACGCCAATTCCTCTAGGGTGAGCTTGCATATTAATATGATCGTCATTTTCGATTTATGTCTTATTTCATGCTAGATCCAACTTTAGCTGTTATCTTATTTGCATTAATTTCTAAATCACTATTCTTATTTACCTTTGCGCGTGGTTCGACTTTCAGTGTTGGTTAGATATCAATTTCCAGAATTCGGCTATCTAAGCGGTCGTTTTATTTGCGGCTTTTGCGTACATAAGGATTCACCCATATTATAGGTCTTTATTCAACTTTCGTTAGCAATGTCCTCTTTAATCATGACTTACTTGATTAAAGTACAAGTTGATTGTTAAGTATTTGTACCTGTAGACCAGTGGTTGACGTGTTTGTCTGCCAAGTCAGTGATCTGGAGATCAATACTCGTTTGGTGGTGCGGGTGACGATACCCCGCCCTGAATACTTTTGCTCAGCGTGTGGTTCAATAGAATGTGAGTTTGTCGTAAGAGCGACTCCAGTATACCTCCCTTCTATGCAAATCAAGAGTTCGGAGCGCTTCTTAATTGGATTAGGAAGTTGTTGAGTTTATTCCTTATCCTATGCACTCCCAGTTTTCCTAATTCTTAATGGCATTTAACTTGTACATTCGGAGTGAAGGAAAGTGTAACATTGCAGGTTTGCCCAAGTCAATGTTTACTTTTTGGCCCATTCAAGCTCGGAAGTTATATAAGTGGTTTTGAGGAGCCATAACTGCTAATATCCTTCAATCGCTTAGCTTAGCAGCAATTCGGCCATGGCTACCGTGTCAAAGCTCTCATTGACTGTTTTGGCAAAATTTTGCGCAACCTTGATATATCACACTACTATAATCAATCAGTAGGCAAGTTACAAGTGCGGAGCGTGTGTATAAATTGGGAGTGCTATATAGGCGAAACTATAAACTATCATCTTACGGTTAGGTTAGTGTTTTCGAATTAGCGGGAACCAAGCCCTTCTGTGTCAAAGGATTGCGGGGGGGGGGGGGCGCTCTATAATACTTTTGCTTTCTCCCTAAGCCAAGGTTTAAAGGATGCTCTCCTTGTTATTTGGATTGTTAAGTGTATGAAAAATAACTTCATTCATCAGCCTCATTTCATTCTTTTTTTAGATTGACACCACTTTCACTTCAAAACCCTTATACCTAATTCCATCCCTGCTGGGCATTCGGATTGCAGTTCTTACTTCTACTGCATTCGTGGAATTTAACAGATGGGTTCTCGTCATGCTTCAAAGCTATCCCCTAATAAAGCCAATCTCCTCAATTAGCCAACTTTCTGGTTCTGAAGGAGGAATCATTAATATCAGTGGAACCATTGAAGTTGTCAGTTTGCCTCAACTTTGCCTCCTCCCTCCCAATCTCCTCAGACCCAGAGAAAATTCTGAAAACGCGACCACGAGGGTTATTGAATTCCCACCTTTAAGAGATTGGTGGAGGAATCTAATTGTGCATGGTTTGAATTGGTTTGCCGAGGCAGTCTCAAATTACGTGCAAAATAAATCTCATATTCGAATTAAGCGCGAAAGCACTTCCACTCTCCCCGTACACTCATTCATTACCTCCTCGACTCTTCATGAGATTGTCAGCTCCCATATTGAGGCCAGTTTCATGAAACCCCTCATAGAATTCATCGGCCAATGGAATGAGTTAAGACTCCAACATCCCGCAAGTTTTAATCGATTATTTAAACCCGCTGGTAGACAATGCAATCACTAATTCTCTATATTCTTTTAGTATCCTCGTAGAATTCTTGAAGCTTATAACAAGTGTTTAAAGCCATTGTCGAGACGCATCCGCGATAATCTTGCAGTGTCTCCACTTCCGGATTCTATACCAGATGGCTCACCGTGGGAAGAGGCTGTGATGGCGTGGAACTTGTTTTTAGACTCGCCTCAATTTTCCGCGTGTTATGTGGCGTCTTTGAAACTTTACCCTGAAAATCACGAGTCCTGGAGACGTGAAAGTCCACTACTTATTCCTTGGGGCAATCTCTGTATCGGTTTGATCCGAGCTAAAATTGATGACACGGCATTAATCGGCAGTTTGGATGATAATATTTTGGAGTCTGATCTTCCTGAATCCATTTTTGATGACCTGGTCCCTCAATTCCCTATCGAAGATACTAGGAAGCAGCATGAGTCGAAAAGCTCCCCTGTCCTTCCACCGAATTATGACCTCCAAATCCCAAAAACCGATCCCTACGCGAACATCCTTCAACGGCTGAATGAAGTGAGCAAGAGAATTGATGGAGTGTCTCAAAATGTAAAGTCGATCTTCGAATAGAGTTTGTACATCTGCTTGTATATTTACTTGGTTATACAAATTTTATGTATTTTTGTGACTCATGTACAAAGGAAGAGCAATCTTTTAGAGTGAACGAGTTTTATCTCCCTGACTATTGTTTTCTTTTTGATTTCGTGGGTCTCTATTTGTGGGGGGGGGCTTTTTAACCTAGTCTTCTTACTAATTAGCATAGTGCAAGTTGTGTCGTACTGATATTCGCTGGGCAGATGCGTAAAGGTGTCAAAGTTTGATAAGTAAGGAAGTGGAGTCCTCTGGAATTTGAGAATTATCACGCGGGAGCGGCATCACATTACTATTTGAGGTGCTAATTAAGATTGGCGAGCTATCCTTTTACAACATTCTAGGTGGTGGATTAACTAACGTACGTTAAGTTGATGTCTACAAGTGCACATCCAGCTATGTGGATGACCAGTCGCACTAGTCAGTTTGGACTAATTCCAGAGTTACTTGTGCCACACATTTCCAAGAACTGCAATGGATAATGCTCTATTTCCTTACCTAAATATACACGTTCTAAAGACAAAGGTCAATTATATAAAGCGATAAACTAAACCAAAACTAATAACAACATAATTATAAAGTAAAAAGGCCTTGTTAGGGAGGAGGGGTTGGGGGGGGGGGGGGGTGGAAGAGTAACCAGGTATTGCTATACGTAACCGGCCAGTTTGGCTCCGATCTAAAATAAAACGAAGTAATTATATTAATATCCTCTGTGCTATGGCAGCAGTCAAACTCAATTTTAGCTAAAGAGGTGCAAATAACAAAGACACCAACACTGAACTATTCTGACAAGGGGGCTAGTGACCTGAATTTAGTGTGTAGATGACAAACAACCCGATTTCTCAAGCATTCAAGGACTAGTCCTAAAGCAGGAAAAATGAAAGTTTGCTAATAGTCAGTAGCATAGTAACAGAATAGGTATGCATACCACAAAATCAATTGACTTCGACCCCTAGTACCTGGATGCTGAAGATCGCGTAAAAGACTGCATCTAATCTGAACGTCAGTTTAAACTTGCCTGATCACACAACAAAACCCTGGCGACTCAAGTACCGTTGACTTCTCTCCCAATACCTCGACTGATATATAAAACTATGAATATACCATACTCTGAGAGTTATTCAAGAGAAGCATCTTTAGAAGAATTTTAATCTACGAGATACTAACACGCATTCTCTTGCTTTAGTTGAATGGACAAATTATCCAAAAGGAGGTCCAAATTCTGTAGGCTGAGATTTACCTTTCGTATAGGGTACTTTAATTACTCAAGACAAAGTATCCGGCTCTAAGTTAACTTAAAAATGCCGCCATTTAACTCCGCTCAGTAGTCCTACTAACCCAAATTGAGCAATACCTATAAAAATAGCTTACGGATTTGTCACAAGTGTTTATTTTCTCTGTAGACACCGGGGACGAGCTGGTAGTGATGGTATTAGAGACATCATGAAACTGTTGAGGTGTGCTGTATCCGATATGGGCGTATCGAATGTTAGTATTGATTGGAGAAGATGACCGTCTAGAGGCGTGACCTCGTCGATAGGGCGAGCACCAAACCGACTCTAACCTTTTCTCGCGTGGCTTGGAGTGTCTTGTTGGCGTTTTGGGCAGGTTATTATCTCGAATGTCATTGATCAATCGGGTTGGTAAGAGGAACAGTTCTTTGTTGAGCTCGATCATTCGCGTTGCCAGTGTGATAGCATCTTGGATGTCGGAATTCTGTCGAAACCACACAAAAATGATATTATGGGAAAAGTTATACGTGATCTGGGCTATGAGTGAACTATTAGATAGGTCAATGTCTTGGAGAAATATGCTCCATAGTTGGATGATTTTTGACAAAGAAACTTCTCTCAAACTTTTCTGCCAGAAACAGAGACTAACTTTGGCCTTCGATTTCATATGGATAGGTCCAAACCCGTAATCACAAAAGGAGCCTTATTCAAAACAGCTGTTTTCAAATTATTCATGGCAATCATATCGAAGTATTCAAACAGGAAGGAAATAGTGGTCCAGACTAAGAATAATTGGAAGGACAAAAAGGCAGAAGTAATCCGTCGAAATCTGGACATCAATCCGAATTTTGAATTTTTGTAGGCTGTCTGTGTGCTAATGTCTAATGCATCGAGGTTCAAAAAACATAAGGCTTTTAACTCCTGGGTACCTGAAAGAGGGTTAATGTCTGGAAGATTGTCAAAGATATCTCTTTTGGAATTGACAAAGAACAGTCTCTAAGCGCTAACCCTTACACAGATATCCCTTTCAAATTATTAAATATTAATAAGTTTTGGCTAGGGTGTGTTCCGGTAATAGCTAAAGCACTTTTGTAAGACAAAACAAAGGACCTCAGTCTACTGTTGGTGCGTGTTAAGCTACTGAAATGTGGTCGGTACTCTTATTGGTAATGATCAATAAAGGCAAAAAATTCTTTAACACCAAAAGAGGCCACTTCACGTTTAAGTAGAAGTTAACTAACCAAAGTCACCTAAGCTCTTGGTCAAAATAGGTTCAAGACATGAATCATTTCTACAGAAAACTATCAAAAACGAGAAATGCCAATAGTAACAGGGAAGATGGTAAATTTTATTCACAAATGTGAACTAGGTTTCAAGAATCGCATAAAAAAATAGCACATTTTCATCCCTCATGTAATCTAAGACTTGAAATAGTTGAACCTATCGTATAAATATCCGGTAAATAAGCAATCGACCTAGAGATAAACAGGAGAAAACTGTTGTTATATAAAATGCTATTTACCTGATTTTGGAAGCCATCAACTACTGTAAAGGTTTCTGAAAAGACGGAGGGTACTAAAACTGGCCCAAAGACGGTTCCAAGGGCGAGAGGAGACATCCGATTCCGCGCAACTTGGGAAGTCACACGGTGAAGTAGCGCAAAGAGTCTTTGAAGGAGAGATTTGTGCATTTGGGGCAAGAGAAGGATGAGAATGCGCAAAGCGTTCACTTGTTTACTGTACGTGTACCGTTTCATTAGCGCCACATTCGGAGACTCGTCATCTTTTACAACCAATGAATTTCGGTTCCACAATCCTAAAGAGGAAGGAATGAAGAATTAGCTAGTTATTTGGCTTTGACAAGTACGCTCTCCATATCTAAAGTCCAGATTTATCATCTTGTCGACGTTAAGATCATTCCTATTTCCATATGACCATTCCAAAACCATTCATACAAAAAATCGCTTAGCAAGGTTTAAACCCTTATTAGACAATGTTAAATGTTTTTACTCATTCAAACATTAACAAGTTAGATCCGCAGAATGATCAGATCATTGTCTTTGAGCAAAAAATTCCACAAGTAAACATGTAGATGCAGCAGACCAAAGCGTTAAAAAATTAGGATAACATTAGCATATAGATCTTGATTTGAATAGATCCCCATGTTTTCGAAGAGGTCTTTCACGAGCATGAAACAAACACCAATTTTTTTTATTTTTTAATCCATTTAGATCGATGAATATATTGATATTTCCCCATCATTATCTTATAAAGCCAATGAACTGACCAGTTGTTAGGAGGATGCCTTCATTTTGTTCACTTACTTCACAGCGCCTATATCAACGTAAGCAAAGTAATTAATTTTCTAATGGAACTTCGGTTAAGGGTCCTCACAATTGACTAACAAAAGGTCTCTCCCATTGACAAAAAAGGGGGTTTCCAGCGTCGTGCACAAAGCTTCATGCTTCATGAGTGGTATAGGAGTGGGTCCATGTACCGACGACTAGTGAATGAATGATTTAGTGCCACTTTGTGGTTGCTGTGGTGAGGTGAGGCGTAATCAACTAGACTCATGCATTTACAGAGGAATGGTAAAACACACAAACCACCTTAGGGGTGGTTCGGGCAAGTTGGACTATGGGTTAAGGAGAAATAAGGGAAGGACTATGCTAGTTTTACAAATAGATGGAGTTCCCCACCCATCTACAAAGCCATGACGGAAGGTAATAAATTACCTTATTGTGGTTTTGGGAGAAAAGTAGGTTTCATATATCCAATTGAGATGATATAGTGCTACTTTGTGGATGCTGTGGAGAAGGCCAAGCAAGTGAGTTCTTTAACGGACACCCCCAATGTGTGGTTTTATTCCATCCCCAATAAATCGGTTTCCATTTTTTACTGTCACTAACCGCCTTCTGCAAAATAGTCGATTCTTTAAGTTAGCACTTTTTTGACTACCTTGATCATATAATTAGGCAAACTTTCCCATAAGTACATGAGAAATCCATCTTCCACACTTTGCTTTCTACAGCGATCTAAAAACTTTCTCATCTACGAAAAGATATGCAAGTAAAGGAAAATCTCTACCCAAGAATTCCAGAAAAATTGATTTCTATTCATAATGTACCCAATCAGATAGCACTTCATAATGTCGAGTCTTTGGAAGTATCACATAGCCAAAGAGTAAAATTCTATCCTATCTTTGAGCAGTCAAACTAGGATATCTCTTACACTTTCTTTTTGTAGGTAAAACATAGGACTATTTTTTACATAAGTGCTCCTCTGTGGATAGCAAGGGAGAGAGAGATTCAACTGACCAAGAAATAGGTTAAACATTAAATGTCCCAGTGACTGAAATGCCTAAAACTATATCCATCTTAGAGGGGAAGAAAATTTAAAAGTTTCAAGTTTTCATGAAAAATATATGAATACAGCGGAAACGCGAACAAGACCAGGAAGTTTGAGAAAAAAACGATGGCGAATATGAGCGACCATCCCAAGTTGATGTTTTGGTTGTGGTGACTAAGGGAAGGAATAAAAGGCCTCGAGACTGTGTGGATTTAATACATTCCCCTACTCCTTCACCTTGTGCCGCTGAACAATAAGTTACCTTTGATCTCAATTGCTATGCTATTAATTAACCAATAAAGGCTAGCAACTAATATGACTTGTGTTCCTGGTCCTGGTTACAAGGCTCAAGACGCCAATAACCGAATTTAAGTACACAGCTGTCTAGAAAAGAACTTCAAAAGATCACGTCGGGATGCGTGAGTGGCGAAGGCAAATACAATTAACTAATGGCAAACAAATAAATGATATCGAAAGACTGGATTTGAAGGGGGGAGAGAGTTGTTCGACCATAACAACAAAGGAGTGTGTAAGAAACGAGTCCGAACAGGTTTAGTTTTAATTAGACATTAAATTAACCATCTGGTCAATGGTTCTCGAAGTTAGCGCGGTGAGAGTAATTTATGCAAATCGGAAAGAAAGCAAATAACACTAGCCTTCCCGGAATTAGATACAAAAGAACAAACAAAACGTACACAATGACTTCTTATTTCATTTATCTATGTAATTCGTTCAGTATTTCTTCTCCTCTTAAGGTAGGGGAAAAACTGGCAAAGGCAAGGTTAACTGTCATTATAAAGCTTTCTCGGTATTTAGGGGCTAATCGTTATTTGGATGTTGATATTAAGAAATACGAATTAATTTCAAGGGGAAACAGGGGCCGCTGATGGGTTCCGCAAACCAACACATCATCAAGATAGTAGGTAAATTACTTAGAAGTCCAGTTTCTGAACCCCTTCGTTGGTGTAATGACGGCCTTAGTTAAAGTATGGGCTCAACAACAAGTTAGAACGCGTTTGTACTGCCGCCTTTACTCGAGTGTCGAAAGTTCATTTATGACTGAATAAAGTGACTGGCTTTACGCTCCGAAATTTTAATTTATTTCTCTTCCTTTAAGATTTCATTCGAAATTCGTCAATTTACAGTTTCTTATCTCTAATTAGAGGTTGGAAATACCTATATTCGCCTAGATACCCATCAAATTGGAATTCCCAATGGTTTTCAAGCTTGCTACCTACATTTTTTTCCTTAAAATGGCAGGTGGAGACGAAATGTACAAACGCAATAAAAAAATGAAGCTGGTTTTTTTTAATATTCACCTTGCTCGACGCAGTAGCACTGCCTATGTTTTCCAACCCAAATCAACTGCACTGTCGTTAGGCTTGAGCATGCATGTGTCATCAAGTTAACGATGCAAATATTTTGCTCCATTTCGCTTTCTTCCCTACAGTTGACGGACTTGCGTCGGCCTATGTGGCAAAAAAAGTTGCCCTCTCAAACACACACACACTAACGGGCCAACCGACTGACCAGAGGAGGAGAAGGAGGCTTAACAAAAGGGAATCGTGCTTGGAAATTACTCATAATGGGCTCTGACTCTCATCTTAACTATGCCATTAAGATTTAAAATGGCACAATTTGAGCACTTTGGCTTACTGGCTGCTTGAAGGTAAAAGGGAATTAGTCCATTTGTAAGGAGGGGTTGCTCCAAGTGGCTGATTATTGATTTGAGAGCACCAGCAAGTTCATGAGCAGAGTACTCATGCCATGGAAATGTTGTGCAGTTGAAATCGGAAAGAAGTAGGGCATCTGCAACAGCTCTTTGTTGAGTTAAGTTTCCCGTTTTCCTGAAAATTCCTTCCACAAAATGTGCTACAAAGGAAACGCTGCTGTTAATAAGATTAATGCATAGTAGAAGTGTTTGGAGAATCATCAACTTACCGCCGGCATCTTCAAGCACAGCCATCAGATAATTGAGTCGATTCAGAAGAGTGGGAGTTAGCTTTAGGGGTTGAAGATCACCTAGGAGGAATGAAGACTCTATAATGGACTAATCATGTGATGCGGACTTATGAGTAAACAAAGAAATTGAAGTGCTAATGAGTCGAGTTCATATCTCAATTCGTACATAAGTTAACAGGTGTTTTTTGAATAGGAGCGGGTTCAAAATGTAATAAATCAACCAATAACAGAGCCCCCAAAAGCCACGAAATCACTGGAGGGAACATTTAAAGGAAAGGGACTTGAAAAATAGTGTTGTTAAACAATCGGGTAACACACAGGAAGGGAGCCTATGACCTTAGCGATAAAGCAAAAGGAATTGGTGGCTTTTCAAAAGACTCGAGTGAACACTCGTAAAGTTTTTTTTAATTTTATAACAATCAACATATCTAAAGAGGTGAGTAAAAGAAACTAGATTATAAAAAGCGATAAATTAACGCAGGTTAAAGTCCTAAAAGGGGTTATCTTGAAGCTTATTTAAAAGAGGAATTAGGATTACTCAACCCTTTAATAAGCCATTAGGCTTTCCAATAGCTACCTTTGCATTGAATGTCAGTAAATATCAGAAAAAGAAAAAAACTTTAAATTAAATAGGAAATTTCGATTTTGGGACCATTATGTTACTTCACCTACCAAGTTTACGCCTTGTACGAGAGAGCAACTGCTTCATGGGAGTACCTTTGATATTGTTTTGATTTTCAATGTCAGATAAAATATCAAAAGGTGTTTCGAGTACAAAAGAGAGCTGAGAAGCACAAATGGACTTGAATTTTTCTGGTTGTTTTTGACGGAAGGTTAAAATATCCTCCGGTTCTTTCACAGCCTCCATTAGATTATCACTGTAGTTTGACCACACAGCTTCATTCACTGACATTACTAACAAGAAGACAAGATCATAACCCGAAATCAGAGCGACTTAAAAATGTTGAGAATTTTTTGATGCATTAGCAAAGGAAAAATTGTCAGTATACTAAGGGCCAGAAAGCCAATCAGAATGCTACAAGCAACGCATGCTACACTTCCACCTTTCTAATTGGTTGTTAGGGTTATGGGCTTATGTGATTGGTGAAGGTGATTAGCGAATGCTAAATCGGTCCAACATATCCGCGATTTCTGGTTAAAAATGAAGATGTTTTTTGTGTTATATAGCCAATTAATTTAGCCATATATCTTTACAACATTAAGTGATTCTTTTGATTTCTATCACTTTTAAGGAATTTGCAACATTTGTGAAATTCTAAAACAATAGAAATGAAATAATTTAAAATTAACTGAATTATTTTACTGGTAAATATTCGATTTTTATCAAATTATTCAAATGATGTTACTCCTTAAAGCATTTTGTGTTAATTAAGCTGACATTAACGGAAGGGTTACATGTTAGGTTTATATTATTAGATCTCTCCCATTTGTTTATGTTAGCTATTCTGGGTTCCGTCAAATGAGCTTTCACTTTTTTGCAGCATTTGAACTGTAAACAATGCAACTTTAGAGTGACCATCTGCTTTAATGTTCATAGGCTGCTTCGAACCAGTGCAGTTTAAAGGCCCCACCTGTTTGTTCCTGCAGGGTAAGAGGGCTACTGCTCGTACGATTCCGGTACCAGCCTGGATTTCCCCCAGGCCATCATATACACCCCACCCCCCACCCACCCTACAACAACCTACCCTCAACCCTTTCCCACTACTCCCACCCTATCTTTCTCTCACCCCTCACAATAACCCCCTCGAGCGTTCGAATATGGATACATAGCCACTCGAACATGCGGATGCATACAATGACAGTTTGTGACGTGTCGATATCTAGGTCGTACTGGACGCAGCATATTATGCATGCGAAAGCCTGTTCATAAACGAAAGACGATATTCTCTGTGGTTAAGGGGAGGATACTAAACGCTTTCGGTCGTTTTACGATGTCAGATCTTATGCAAAATAACAATTAAGAACAATGACTAGGCTTTATGAAAGGGGTTATTATGCATTTATTAGCATAAATGGATCCAGAATTGTATCTAAATAGAAACCCAGACATAATCAAGATTTTAACGAGGTTTATGCTCCGATTTGATGCAGTCCTGTGATGGTAACCCGAATTATTCGTGTTAAGTAGAACAGAATTAGGGAGGAATGAATAAAAGTGTTGAAACAGAGAGACTTTAATTTATGACCAAAAACGCTAAGGCTATAAGAATGCTAATTAATTAATTAATTTGTTGCTAAATGAATTGAGAATGGCGAAAAAGTATCGATCATAGGGAAATCAATATATGCGGGATTCACTACGCTTAAATATAACACCCACAGGAAAGCGGTTTCGTAAAGAAAATCGATTATTCATTTACGTCAGTACATCCGCTTTACACCTATAACCCAGTTTTTGGTTATTCTGCCTGCAAATTGTAAATTTTGCCCAAAATAACGGAAAACTCTTTGACCAATACAATGGGTTATTATATTTAAAATTAAACTGCCTTTTCCGTTCAAATTGTTCTAAAAAATCACGCGTCTGAAAATATGGGGGAATAAGCAGCCAGGTTTTATTAATTGTGAATATGTCATGAATAATTTCAAACTTGAATTACCTTACCCTGTGTTTTACCCAATTTTTTATTTTAAACCGAACAAAAATTAAAACGACTATGATTTATTTACTTTTATATACCTTTCAACCACGGAGAATCAACGAACTACGTAAGAATGGAAGCCGCTGTCCAGTTTTAAGAGAAATGACGACGGTTGCGAGGTTCAATGAATAATGAAATACCCTAATCACCTGGGCTCGAAAATCATTAGTTTGTCTGTTTTTTCGATTAATAATTTGACGACACTATGCATATGGAAAGTCCAGACGACCTCATTATAGTACAATTTAGCATTCTTCCTTTCACTCCATAATATTGGGTAAGGACGCCTACCAGTTGGGTTTTGATGATTGTTCCTCCAACGTTTTCGCACCTCACATTCGCTGAAAGTCAAAATAGCCAGGGCCCATAAGAAGTGTAATTCCTCTATCATACCTTTCGGTTGTGGTTGATGTACAATAAGTGAAGAAATGAATTTCTCTATTGGAATCATCACCCAAATATTGTACCGCTTTTCGATAAACATCCACTTTAAATACATGCAAAGAGTTGCGTAATTTACAGCATATTTCATCAATGCTAAGATTCGCACATTTATTTAGTCGTTGCTATTGTAACTGTGCGACAAAGCTTACTCAAAATAGATTTTCGCAGCTAAAACTTTGACCTTTGATTACCTTCTTATGTACTCTATCATCTGCCAGGCAGTGATAAAAAATTCTTTAATATGTTATCGTCAATCTTAGGAGAGGAAAGCATATAAAAACAACTCCAAAAAACTATACCCAATAACCATTTCTGTTGCCCTCATAGATCTTTATCCCAAATTCGAACCGACTTAAATAAACCAAAAGAAAACAAAGTTAAAGGGAAATTGCGCTCAAATAAACATGTCGTTCACGTTTTTAGATCCAAAATTAATATTTCCTCCCAAATTCAAACAATTAGATCTCAATAGAAAAAACGTTCCACTAATTAGATTTTATTTATGAATTAGACTCAAGGATAACTGTTAATCAGTCATAATTATCCCAGTTAATGGAGTCATTTCATCTCTGAGTATTGATTTTTCCCAATTTAATTAACTAAAACAACTCGACACGATCTAAGGCCATAGGCTATTTGGCTAAAATCCCGTACTTTCCAAGAGTCGTTTAAAAAGATGACGATAAGTGAGAACGACCCACCTTTTCATGAGAACTTTAATGCAAAGTTTATAAAAACACATTGACAAATGAGCTCCAGCACACAGAGGCCTAATTAATGAGACATCCGCAAACTTATTTTCAATGCGGATACTGAATCATTCAGCAGCTGCACGGAAACTTACTTAAATTGATGTACCCCGATTAATTGTAGCAAAATTTGAGCTACTATTTGGAATAATCAAGCGTACCTGTACAACTTGAAGAAATTTTGTGTGGGAAATAATACCACCAAGAAAAACCATATTTACCCAAGCTTCATTGTCAAGCCAGCACAATGGCATTAATAAAGAAATAGCGGTACATATTCTAATTTGATATTTATTCCTACTAATGAACTCCAATGAATAAGATTAGGTCTTAATTTCGGGAGGTTCTAAAAATATAGAGTCTTAGTTTGAGAATGGTGTTTTTCTTGGTTGCAAGAACGTCAATTCATACTTTTATGAGTTTAAAATTGCACGCGGAATACCAGTGATGTGAGCGTTATTCTATTTATGGCCAAAACATTAAATTTGAGTGTTTGTAAAGATACTATTAGACATATTTCTTCGAAGCTCCTCTCGAATGCACCACTGTGCGTAAGTTAAAAACAGGACAAAGTTCGACTACATCTTGCGTGATTCAGTGCAAGTAGAGTTGGTGCTCAGTAAACCTTTTTGACATCAGAAAATGTGCGAGATCTGCTTCCTTCAAATATACCTCCTATTACTGGTTCAATTTAAGAATTCAATCAAAATGGTTTTAATTTTGATATCATTTAAATAACTCAATACCACACCAAATTATTAACAGCTTTTGAGGAAAATTCAAAAGAAAAATTCCTTCCCCTCAAGGGGATTCATTTAACTCTAAATCAGTTCGATAAATACGTCTGTTTCTTTGATATAGGTGCACTATAACCGAAAGTGGCCGTATACATTGGGAAGCTTCTGGGCTATTCTTGTAAAATAACTATTTAATACAAATTTATATTTTATTTAGAAATGAAGAAAAAGTTGCTTAGAATGCCAAATAAAATTGGTCTAGGCAAACACATAATTAGTTAAGTTTTCATAAATAAGTACCATTAAGGCATTAAACCTGTCAAATGTCTAAAGTTCTTGATTATGTTAGAGACTTAAACTCATTTTTTCTATCCCCGTTATGAAGATGAGTTTTTCAGCGTCAATTTGTCGGATTTCTACCCATAATTTGGTCGATAAACATTGATTGATATACTTGATTCAGTAAATGAATTTAAGATAATTCTATAACACATATGAGCCATGATTCAAAATGACAATAATGGTACTATGTGCCTTGGAGAATCGCATTGAAGACTATAAGATTGAGTAGAATAAAGCGAAATAACAGACCACCTGATCTAATTGCACCGGCACAGCGGATTTTTTTCCCGAAAATACGACGCAAAAAAATGTCGGAATGTCCTGACATCGTGACTCGGACTTTGTCGTCACAGTTAAGTGAATGTTTCAGTCTCTGACATGAAGCTGGCACTCAGTGGCAAACTTCATTCAAGCATAGCAGAAGTCAACTTCTTACAGGAAATCGTCGTCTGACTTCTAAGCATAGGCACTCAGGTTCTCATCAGATGAGAGAAAGTTTTGCCAATATTTTGAGGACAATATGCAGAATCATATGTGGTTTGACTTACATTCAGCGGTCGAAATGACCAAATTCCCCCCCCCATTGTCATGATTTTCAGCTGAATACTCTCCTTTGAGGGGATGTTGTAATGCCTCCCTCAACATTTTTTAAAAGGGACTTTGGTTGATATCGGCTACCTACAAAGAATTGTTGACCACTGAAGTTGTTACACTCTGTATAACGAGTGTTATCAATGATAGACCACATGTATATTAGCAGAACTTGAACCCTGTCACACCTCACAGAAAAGTTATCTGTCTCCTACCCTACTTACTGATGAGATTGTTAAATTTACTTCGAATGCCCTATAACCAGGTTTAGTGTACTAAAATATGATATAGTTTTAGATATATGCTCTCTGGGTCTTTGGGATCGTTGAAATATTTGGGTGCCGCATTTGTTTCAATTGATTTACATCAAATTTAAAATCCAGTAGG